TACGTATTTATGTCTAAGTCCCATCTGTTTGGGTTTTGTTTTATGTTTTTAATTTCATTTTGAAAATAATCCGCCATTAGATAAAGATGAAGAGGTGTCCGCCCAAATTGTTGCATATTACATGTTTCATTTCTATCGCCGTTGTAACGCATTCTCAAACGAGCAAAAAGTTCTATAAACAAATTATCGTCCAATTCGTCAAATGTCCACAATGGTATATGGACATATTTCACTAGAGGTGTGAAATAATGTAAAGCACTAAAATAAATCTCATGCAAGGGTAAATTTTGAAGCTTGAACATTGAACCTGTCATAAAACAATCTTCTAGGGTTGTTCTCATAAACTTTATAAAGTCGTATATATTCTCCAGCTGTTCTCTATCTAACTCCGTAATTACAAAACTAGATTTCCAGAATTTTTTTAAATAGTTATCTTTATCCTGATATGCAAACTCAAGTATTTCGTATGACGTACCGAATTCCCTATGTAACAATAATTTAATTTGGTTGTACGATCTACTCGCGATCCACATTTGATGTTCCTTGTGATAGTTTTTAACCGTTCGAAGAAACATCAAAACTTCATTCGAATAATGAGGGCAAATTTCGTCGAAACCGTCGAAAATGTATATCAATTTTCTCGTATTAAAAAAATGGAGAAATAATTTTAGCTCGAAAACAGTCCAATCGTCATCTGTGGTACATTTTTTTAAATTGACATTTCCGTTATTTTCTTCCAAGTCGATAATCATTTTGTTTGTTTTCTTGCTAACAACTACCTGACAAATGAACTTCAAACATTGCAGAATGTCAGTCTTTTGTTTATTTTTCTGCCATTCACTGAATTCTTTTGAGTGCTCCAAAAGATTGACTCTTACAATCCACAAATGAGGTTCCAGCATTTTACTTTGAAGTGATATGTGCGTTAGAAGTGTTGACTTGCCCATGCCAGGCTTGGCCGTAATAAGGACCACTTCGTCTTTTAAATCATTTAAAGTTTCAATAACTTTTCCTTTTTTATTTTCATTGTCATCTGTATCACTGTTATCGTCATCATCATCATAGTCGTCGTCATCATATTCAGATTGTACATGCTTATCAACGCGTTTAACTCGTCTTGTAACATATAAGTGTCTTATTTCTTCATAATTTGAATTACTCAATAAGTTTCCAAGTTGAACAACTGATTTTTCGCTTAAAATGTCTTTAAAAACTTGTCCTTCGATATATGTCATTGATACCTCATCAATTATAGAACTCAAGCTTACGATGGCATCTTGAAATTTTACATTTGTATTATTTAGAATGATATTTCTAGAATTTTCGTTCAGCTCGGCAAGATTGGGTTTCTCATGCTGAATTGTTTTATGAATGTGTGAAAAAATACTTTTCATAATTTCAACGTACATTGGTAATGTTATGATGATAATTTTTTTATCTTTAACAATTTGTGCGATGTTTTCTAATGTTTTTCTGTGTTTTCCTCGTATACAAATATTTGGACATTCGCATATAAATATGAGTAAAGCGCTACTATTTGTTTTCGTAATTTCATCACATAACGTGTAACCTTCGTCAACTGGTAGATGCAAGATATATTCTACATCTATCAAATAATGCTCTCGATTCTTAATAATTTGAAGCACTTTAGCAACTGATAGTGCACTATTATCAGTGCTAAAAATGGCATTGAAAATATTATCTTCATTAGTCAACATGTTTTCCTTAAATTCATAATCAATGGCCTTTATCTTGTTCTTGTATATGGTAGTCATTAAGCTCATAACCGGGTCTTTAATTACATTTGCAATTGTTAAATTATGTGAATCTTCTTTTGTGAGATATGTGCTTGTTGTGGACATCCACCATTTTTGTATAGCATCGTGGTATATCAAAAATATAGCGTCTGATCTTAATTTTACGTATTTATCAATGATTATTTGATTATCTTCTATTTCTTGCTTCAATATTTTTTCCACCATACCTTCGTCAGCTTGATCTGAATAACACAAAAACTTTCTTCTAAAATCTTCAATTAAATTATTTTCATGTTCACTACATTCGAACGCTAGTTTTGGGATATTTTCAACTTTTATATCAAACCGATACTTGTGCATATCTGGATGTGCCAATTTAATTTTATCAAATAATCTTCTTGCGAGATCTTCCAACATTTGAGGATGGTCTGTGAATTTCATTAATTTCTTATGTTCATCGAGAACTATTAGGTTACCAATAATACCGTCTAAATCACCATTATCCTGTAGAAATTCTTTCCCTAAGGCCTCATCGATATTTATAATTTTATTCTCTTGACATTGTTTCAGTAAATTACTCAATTTTGACGACAATACTTCCAGACTATTTTCTATTTTGTCAACATTACCTCGAATAGTTAAATCCTTGTTTCCAAAAGCAGCTGGGACTTTGTACAGTTTATCTGCTAAAGTAGCCTTTGCTGATGAGCACATTTCAGCGATAAATTCGCCCTTAGAAACAGCAACTTGTTTTAATACTCGTTTCAATTCATCTGGTGTGTTCTTGTTATAAAACTCTAGCTTGCCTTGATTGTAATTTATAACTTTACCAAATAATGGGTATAGTGCCCTGTTATTATCTAATGAAGAATTCACAAGAAAAGCAATGTCACTATCGGAGACCTTTTCAGATTTTAACAATTCTTTAAACAATGAGTTCCTGAATGTGGATAGGAATTCATCATTTGTGTAGAAAAAATCGTGTCTGAACTTTGCTAGCCGGTGACCTTCAGGTTGTATGTCAGTGACTTCCATAACTCTCTTTGCTAAGATGACATGGTATTGTAGAATAAGCTTGTCGCTCAACATGGTTTTATGTTCGCTCTTACACAAATACGAGGCAACACTAATGCCTAACAACCTCATTTGTTCTTCAATGTAAATTTTACGCAGCAACTGAACGCTTCCATCGTCACACGAAATGTGAAATGCATTGCCACCGGTACAAATTAGTTCATTCAATTTGTTTGCAAAACAAGATTCAAACCTCTTAACAAAATGGCCACTTGATGTTGTGTAAATTATGAAAACACAATCGATATTACCGTAGTCTCCATTAAATAGCACATCACTATTATCTGATCTCATAGCGCGTCGTATTTTCAAATAACTGTCAAAGTATTTTGTAATGTCATTTTTATTTTTTAATGTTACAACACTGGCTTTTTCTCTGTGTTTTGCTTGTATAAATACTGCCAGTGGTCGATCCGAGTTATGAAACTTAACTCTAAGGCATATGTCGTCGAATGCACCTATTTCGTCGACATTTGAGGCCAGATAAAACTCTTTTATTTGATCATTATGTTTAGCCCGAAACGCAAGTAGACTAATAAGCTTACTTTCATATAGATGCCCTTTTATTCCCGATGTCCCGGGTCGTTTTCGGTAAGCTTTAGACGCCATCTTCTGTGTTATGTGATCAATCCGTCAGCGCACGGTGGTGTACCTGTAAATAAGGTCATAAATATTATTAAATTTGCATTTTACGAAACTATATTTTACCGCATCGCCTTTCACGCACAGGTGGAGCCTAAACAGGAGATCGACTGGAGTAGTTTTTAGTCAGTAAAAGTCTGACAATCTCTATCACCCCACCTACCAACTTGAGATCAGTGTCGCTTTTAACGTCCGAAAAAGTAGATACAAGAAAGTAGCACGTAGGGCTCTTTTATAACACGACGTAGTTCGCTTGAAAACTAGACACTAAGGTAGGTATTGTTATCGCAAAGATTCTTGTATATATGCACTGTAATCTTTACAGCTGTTGATTTTACTGATGAGACCTTTCTTCCTTCACATCATGGAACTGAGGGAACAAAGAGTGCCCCTTTTGGTGGGGGGGAAATCAAATTCATTCTCTCGCGTAGGGTGAGGCGAGAGGGGCGTCAGACTGTCACTGACTACCAGTTCCCCTGCTCTGGGCCGAGGTCCCGGTGCCTTTTCGCGCTTGCCCTGCAACTCCGGTTGAACATCAGCCCTATAGGGCCCCCATATGAAGTAGTCTATTGGCTCTTTGAGGCGCGCGGAACGCAACGTGCCGTATGCTTGGGTCTGGTTCTGGTCGGGCGGCGAGCTACCCTTGCTCACCGTCCACAGACCCACGCTAACAGTGGCCGAACATCGATCCCCATTGCCTAGTTCTCCCACGCGCTCAACTTTCTCCTTTGAGAGCATGACTGCTTCGTAGAAAGAGGAAACGGCTTCCCAGTCCGCACCATGGCTCCGATTAAGGCCGGAAGCGAGAGGTCACCAACGCCGATGAGTTCCCTGAGGTTCCCGGTGCTCTGCCAAACCAGGGCACACCGTCACTGTATGTTCCACCGTGAGCTACACTACGCTTACTACCAAGATGGTCGAAATACAAGATGATGCATAATCGATAGATATAATTTGATACAAACCTTTTTGTACACACACTCAAATATTATAAAGAATTACAATCGTATTAAAACAATTGATGTATACTAATATTATTTAGTCATCAATGCTTATCAGCGTTTATCTTGTGTGCAAACTGTAGTCAATGATAATGTTACTATTTAATTAAAGTATGTAATGTGAAACAAAATTCGTTTAATTTTTGAAGTTTAATTATTATTTAAGTTCTGGTTTTTTAGGCACTACAGTGTTAAACGTACCCTTATATAATGTCTAAAAATATTGGCACTTAACAATACCAATATAAAGTCTCAATCCAATTCAATCGAGATCGGGTTAATTTATTAATTGGCCGTAACTGTAATACACTACTTCAAGCTCATTTTAATAAAATAATGTGCTTAAAGAATAATTTATTAACTTAGATTAACAATTTCTTAGTGTTTCACAAATATAATAATATAAAAATGTTTACTATAAAGTACGTAAGTAATTACTAAAATAATTTTCTTACAAAAACTGTTCTGGACTAAAAGACTGGTGTTTAAATTGTTAATTTTAGAAAACATCTATTTCATCCGCCATGTTATTTAGCTAACTTCACATTGGTGTGCTCTCCAAAACAAATACGTGACTGCGTCGTGCGAGCCATTGTTTATCGTCCATAAAAACAAAATAAACGTGACCCACATTTTTGTGCGAGTCCTATCAGATTCTATTTCGAGTTATTTGCAGGCATTTAAACTCGATTATATTAATAAATCATATCGTTATGGAAGTCGAACGATTCGCTTCCGACTCTGAGAACGTGGCGGTAGACGATAATGAAAAGCCGGTTGTGGACGAAGGCGCCGGAGATGCGGCGACTTCCCACACGGAGCGTCTGCGTCGCAAAAATAAGAAGTACTGGCGCTCTAACAGCAAGGAGGGCCCGGTGAATGCGACGGCTGTGACGCCGTTACCTAAGTACAGAAGCTGGAAAAACAGCCGTAGACCACGCAACGGGCATGGAAGAGGCCTGCCGAAGAAAGGTAGGCGACACCACGCCTTCTATTACTTACATCTTAATTATCAATTCCCTCGAACCGGTTGTTTTGAAACTTCTAGAAAACATACACCATGAATAGAGTTGCATGCGGGGTAAATTTACGTAATGTTTACTACGACGGGGCCCGCTGTATATATCTTTATAAAGGGCACCCGGGCTGCCGAAGGTCACGTAGCCACTTTTGCGCAGTTTCGTGTTGGTATTATTATTACTTTAGGTTTGTTATCGAACAGCGCCCGGCGTTAGGTATTACGCAACGTCATAATATAAACAAGTTTGGTAGCGTAGATATTTGAATGCATAACATGGTGACTATTTTTATCGCGATCTCACCATGTCGCCACGCTTTTTAATTAGAATCGTATTAGCTTACGCTAATAGACGCACGGGCTGCTTTATTTTATTTTTGTTATTGTTTATGTTTTACTAAACCGGATTTTAAGTTGTTTATGGACACGTGGAGTTTCCGGACGACGAAATTAATATTGTCTATTGTTTTGGCGCGTTGCGTACTGTGACCTTGACCGTAGTTACATTCAAGGTTTACGAAAAATCAATAATCCTTCTACTTTTTTGATTTATTTGTTTATCTATATCCTGTACATACAAAATTCTTGTTTGAAATAAATATGGTCGATTTTTTATTCCGTATTACAATGGACCGCGTGCTTATTTTTCAGGTTATTATAGTTAACATTTAAGCATTTGGATATTCGACTCATAATCACTTAATTGTTAGTTTAAGCTTGCCTCAAAGAACCCATCAACAGGGCTGATATTCACGCGGGGTTGGGGCGTAGTTAAACGTAACGTGGTAGTTATTGGTCAGTAACAGTGAATCAAAATCAATGAAAAAATTAAGTATGTAGATCCCACTCAATGTTTGCTATTTTTCCCTTACCAGAAGTTAAGGTTATGGAAAGTAATTACATATATGTAAACATAAATGTTAAACGTGATATATTCCTAAAATTCAATAAAATAAAAATATATTCTCTATAAATAGTTTATTTCAGCGAATACTTGACTAAAAGCTTTGTCTTGCAATGCCATCAGTTATCATTATGAAAGAAGTATTTATGACATCTGAAACCAAAACTTTTTATAGGCATTATGAACTTTACTATGCTTAGAAACTATAACTAAAGTGTATTATTAGACTTTTTTTCGTTTGAAAATGTGTCCCTAACTTATATCTGAAAAAGTAATCCTCTTTATGGTGATTCTTCACATCAATATTATTAAACAAATTAAAAAGTCAAATGATTTAATATGCAATGATAGTGTGAAAAATAACAAAATAAGATTATGAAAGTTACATTTTAAACCCATTTACTTCACTTTTATCATAAATGGCTTCCTATCTGCAACTTTGTCAGCAAATCTTAATAAATTATACCCCCAGCTAATTCTATATCATAAATCATATATTACATGTTATACACATACTTACTTAGGTACTTATCAAAAATACCAATTAACATGTAAAAAATCTTCTCTTTTCTCTTCTCATACGGAGAAGGTTAGAGCATTAATCACCACACTTTCTCAATGTGGGTTTCAAACTTATAATTAGAAATTATAAGTCCAGGTTTTCTCACGATGTTTACCTTTACCGTATGTTAGTGGTGTCTAAATAATCATAGAAAATACATATAACTCGGAAAAAGTCACATTGGTACTTGCCAGGTTTCGAACCTACACCTTCATGCATGAGAAGCAGGCTCAGACCTTTAGAATTCAAAAATCTAAAAATGTTAATTACTTTAGAATGCAACAAATTAATCAGTAAAGAAATCTCTAACCGTCAATTATAAAAAAATTAAGACACTTTAGGATTGGTAAAGTGCAAGTGCACTTTTGACCCTCACTGTACCTTTATTATCTTAACATGCGAATAAAGATTTTAAATTTGAATCTTTTAAAAAACTGCATCAAAATCGGTCACATAGTTTTAAAGAAGTAAGTATACATAGGGATGGACAGGTGGAAGCTACTTTGTTTTCAAAATAAAAGCCATTTATTCTAACTAAACCATAAATAGGTACTTTTGAAACATGAAAATAGAATAATAGTCTGTCAGTCTGTTAGTCAGTGAACCTAGGTGCTTGTTCCAAAGTGTATATTCAAATGGAGAAGATCTAGAAGGAAACTGAATTGGTTCTCTCATGGGAAAGCCAGACCCGAACGTGTGACGCGTAGCGTACCGCGCGTGCCTTTTAAGACAATAGACCACCACAGACGGGGCCCTATAGGGCTGATATTCAGCCGAGGTAAGAGCAATGATGCACCGCGGTCTCGGCCTAGAGCAGGAGTAGGAACGGAGGCGTTTATAGTCAGTAAGAGTCTGACGCTCCCTCCCACCCGACCCTGGGTGGGAGAAGACATTTGATGATATTCCCTTCACAAAAAATAATATAGTTCTCTCATCATTTTACACTATTTAATACTAGCTACTCTCACGCGGTTTCACCCGATGCTCGGCTTCATTTGATCGTAGCGTGATGTTTTATAGCCTATAGCACTCAGGAACATTGTAGCTACCTCTATCAGTGAAAGAATTTTGGCAATCCGACCGGGCGGCGGTTCCAAAGATTACCCCCTACATACAAACTTACAAATTTTAGCTCTTTTTAATATTAGTATAGATACGTTAATGTATCCATAATGTGAGAAAAATGCAGAAAACAAGTTGTTAAGAAATAACAAATAATTTGACCTATTCCTTGTCATTAAATTTTAAATCCTGTATCGTTTCTAACATGGCGCTCACCATATGTAGTATACTGAAAATCCAAAAGAATGCTTCTATATAAATACTATGTAAACATTATTTATGTTATGTAGTGATAATAACTTATTTATCACAAATACTTTTGTTTTTGTAGGTTTAAAATATAAATGAAATGAATATATTATATTAATTTGTTTGGTTTAGTTGTTTATTATCTTTATAACTTTATACTTCTAAGACGTCCTTTACTTTTTTTATGTGATAGGTCGGCTAACGAGGAAACGGGTTACCTGATGGTAAGCAATCATCGTCGCCCATGGATAGCGTCAACAACGGAGGAGTCATGAGTGCGTTACCGACCTTTTGGGGATTAGGGATTGGGGAAGGATTGGGCCTCCGGTAACTTCACGGCGAAACACGACGCTGTGTGTGTACATTATGCCAGTTTTCTATAAGAATTTCGTATCACTCCAGTCGAGCCAAAATTATTTATGCACAATGGCGGACTTAGTGGAGAAGCTATTTTCTATTGCAGGTCGTGGTAGTTTTAATAAAAAAAGTTTTTATTCATAAACAATAATAATCCAAGATGTTTATTGTAAGGTCGAATATAAACGGATTACATTGGGTTTAATCTTATCTGTGTACATAAGCAGATTATAACAAAAACTTATGAACTCGCATTGATAAAAAATACTGTTTTTAAATCCCTTTTCTTGTGTTAAAAAAAAAACATTGATTTATATTTTTTATGGCTTGGTTCTTCCAGCGGATTTGCTTTCCCGATTGAAAAGTAGTATGTGTGTCATTCCAGACTATATATTCCATCTCTGCCAATTCACATCAAAATCCATTAAGTAGTTTTTACGTGAAAGATTTAAAAACATCCATCCAACCATGATAAGTTTACTTGGAATTTACGCGTTAGGATGTTGTATTTTTTCTTGCTTGGGGCTGTATTTTCAATGTTTACATAAATGTTATCTGAGGCATAAAATTGTTGCTGTCACTGTCTTATACAAGCATTCTGACGCGACAGGATCATAATTATTCTCCCGGTTACTTTTATCTGCCCATTGAAAAATCGACAAGAGTAAAATGAGTATTTTGATCAGAAGTCCCAATATTTCTAAAACAAATCCTTCCCCTCCCTTTATCCTACAAATCTCCGAAACCTTAATATCTAAAAGGAAGGCCACGCACTCGGTAACTCCTCTGGCGTTGCGGGTGTCCACGGACTGCGCAGATTGCAACCATCAATTACAACGTAAAAATAAAATACACAATCACTCCATAGTATAAGACAAAGTCGCTTTCTCTGTCCCTATATCCCTATGTATGCTTAAATCTTTAAAACTACACAAAGAATTTTGATGCGGTTTTTTTTCTATACCATCTACTTATACTAATATTATAAAGAGGTAAAATTTGTAAGTTTGTATGTAGGGGGTAATCTTTGGAACCGCTGGTCGGATTGCCAAAATTCTTTCACTGATGAGCTAGATGTGCTACAATGTTCCTGAGTGCTATAGGCTATAAAACATCACACTAGGATTAAATGGAGCCGAGCAGCGGGTGAAACCGCGCGAAAGTAGCTAGTAGTAGATAGAGTGATTGAAGAGGAAGGTCTATATGTATAGTACCTCTACATAGTATAAAACAAAGGCGCTTCCTCTGTTCTTATATCCCTATACATAACCGCTTAAATCGATAAAACTACGCAACGGAATTCGATGCGTTTTTTTTAATAGATAGAATGATTGAAGAGCAGAGCATTGCCCGTGCGAATCATTGTTGATAAAATAATAATGAAAAAAATGTTTTTCGCAGGTGGCGCTGGTGGAAAAGGCGTTTGGGGTGCCCCAGGGTCGGAACTCTTGGAAGAATATGTTGAAGACGCCAACGATCCCAACTACGATTCGGAAGCCGTTACCAACGGGGATGTGGAGTTTAAGCAGATCATTGTCGACGCTGAACCGGAGGAAGTCGTTGTAAGTATTAGGATATTCTTCAACTGCTGATGATGGTTTTTTCTATGTGATAGGACGGAGAACGAGCGACGGATTACCTGATGGTAAGCAATCAGCGCCGCCTATGGACACCGGCAACAACGGAGGAGTTGCGATTTGCCGACCTTTTGGTGATTTGGGGTTTGAAGATTTTGGGATTGGGGGAGAGGAAGGAAAAAAGTGCAACCGAGTGCCATAGTACGTTAAAGTCAAATTCAAAATCATTTATTCCAACTAAACCATAAATAGGTACTTTTGGAACGTCGAAAGAGTCAGTCAGTCTGTTCATCTGTGAAGCTGGGTGCTCGTTTTTTTTCTTTTTATGTTATAGCTCGGCAAACGAGTAGACGGATTACCTGATGGTAAGCAATCAGCGCCGCCCATGGACACTCGCAACGGAGGAGTTACGAGTGCGTTGCCGACCTTTTAGGGATTAGGGATTTGGAGATTTAGGGATTGGGGAAGGGGAGGGATTGGGCCTCCGGTAACCTCACTCACACGGCTCGTTCCAAATTGTAGTTTCGAATGGAGAAGAACGAGCAAGAAACTCCATCGTGCAATGCTGATACTAAAGAGCTACTCTTTAGTATCAGCTCCGTGCGCAGCTGGGACGGGTCGCTAGTATCCAGTTTACAATTGGGTAGTTTCCTAGGTCAAAAATAAATTAATCCGATGTTTCAATACAATAAAATATTGAAAAATAACTATACTTTTATTCATCGATTCATCGATACACTAAGTTTTAGATTTTTTTTAGCTAATTATTGTGAAAAAAAGTGAGCTATTTGACGCAAAAATGTTATGACGTCACACATAGCTCAGTTTTTCATACAAATTTAATAGAAAAGTATCGTTTTTGACGTTTGGATAAAAGTATTGAATTTGACTAGTTGGAAACTACCGTATAATATGCAATCGACGAAGTATTTAAATAAGTAAATTTTCTTGGGCATTATATTTTCAAGGTTATAAATTCTGTATAGATACTTACAATGTTGACATTGACATTTTTACTATGTTTTGCCATTCGAATGTATGCTTTATCACCTATTGTTTAAGCATTTTATATATTTTCAATGTTCTTATGTTTGTTTAGATGTTGTATATTACTTTATTTGTATTGTAAATGGATTTGGTTCGTTCATGATGTATGTTTTTTTTATGGTATAAGTCGGTAAACGAGCGGACGGATTACTTGATGGTAAACAATCGGTGCCGCCTATGGACACCTGCAGCACCAAAGGAGTTACGAGTGCGTTGCCGGCCTTTTGGGGATAGGGGTTGCGGATATAGGGATCAGGAATTGGAATTTGTGATCGTTCATTCTCGTTTCTCTCAATACGATCTCGATTTGGCGTAATTACGAGTGCAAGCGCTGTAAGGTACTCGCGGAGCAGGAGAAGGAACCGGGTGGCTTTTAGTCAGTAAGAGTCTGACACACCTTCTTGCATGCATGGAGTGAGAAGTCATATTATGATGTTTATACCACTTAAGTGTGGGAGAGCCATGCTTCGGCACGAATGGGTCGGCTCGACCGGAGTGATACCACGGCCTCACAGAAAACCGGCGTGAAATAACCACTGCGTTGTGTTTCGCCGTGTGAGTGAGGTTACCGGAGGCCCAATCCTTCCCCTTCCCCAATCCCTCCTCAATCCCTATATCTCCAAATCCCTAATCCCTGAAAGGTCGGCAACGCACTCGTAACTCCACCGTTGCGAGTGTCCATGGGCGGCGCTGATTGCTTACCATCAGGTAATCCGTCTGCTCGTTTGCCGACCTATTACATAAAAAAAAAAAAAAACTTCAAAAAAGTAAATATACTAATTAGACTGATTGATTGACGGAAGCTAATCTGACACTCCCTCTCGCATGTACCAGAAAGGGATTATAGATATGATTTTCGAGACACAAAAATATCTTAAAAATATCTTTTTTTTTGTGTTTGAAAAGCTTTGGTCTTGACAAAGATTTTTGGATAAATTTCGTTTGTAAAGGACTCGCATTATATACAGACCAGCGCGGGTAGCAGCGCTCTCTGATAGACCTGAATCTTTTAAACTGCGATCTCCAACCTGCCAACGGAGATTATGACAAACCCCTCTCATAGCCTAACCTATTCCTACTCCCGGTATTCTGTGAAGCCGTGGTATCACTCCGGTAGACCCGGCCTACTACTCACTAAGCACTCAAGTCGGATTAGCGATTTCAAACTTCAATTAGAAATTTTAAGTCAGTTTTCCTCACGATATAGGGCTGATGTTCAGCCGGGGTTGCGGGTTAAGCGCAATGAGTCACCGCGGCCTCGGCCCAGAGCATGAGAAGGAACGGGGGTGTTTTTAGTCAGTAAGGCTAAGAACTCACGGAGCGATTTTGAACCGTGCCCGCCGCGGTAGTGGAACTGCGGTTTTATTTCCAAACTCACGAGACCGGTTATTTGCGCGGTTACACACCCGCCGCGGTTGCGATCATCGCCCGCAAACGTGGCGGGCGATGATCGCAAGATTGCAAGACGGGCGGTTAACGATCAGTTGAGGTCCAGACCGCCATTGACACACACCAGAAACGAGCCGTTGCGTTATATTCACTTCACAGAAGACCCGCCGGCCCCCGCGGTCGCTCGCCAACCGATCGCAAAGCGCGCGGGTGCCACCCGCCGAGGCTGCGGGTAACCGCGGCCTGCGCGATTCTACTAGTTGCCCGCCGGTACAGCGGGAGCCGCATACAACCGCGTACACCGCGGGCGTAAAACGCGTCGTGAAATGTGCTTTAATTTTTTATATAAATATTTGAATTCTACAGAAACTGCGGGCCCGTAACCGCAGCGGACGCGGGCGAAAATCGCTCCGTGAGTTCTTAGCCTGACACTTCCTCCTGCCCGACCCTGATTGTCATTTGATTATTTTCACCTCACAAAAAAAGGTTTCCTCACGATGTTTACCTTCACTGTATGTCAGTGGTGTCTAAATAATCATAGAAAGTACATGAATGTAACTCTGAAAAAGTCACATTTGGTACTTGCCAGGTTTCGACTTCTTATGCTTAGAAGCGGATGCCCTAGCCTGCGGGCCACCACGACATCTCATAAACTGCGTCAAATATTTTTTTCATAAAACTCCGAGTGACAAGATTAAATTGAATAAATACAAAGTGCATTTGTGAATGCTTAAAATATGCGGCGTGTGTACCGTGTTTGTAGGGCTTGGGCAGGTCATTGACCACACGATAAGGTCGCCGACGGTAGGTCGGTTGCCAAGAAGTGACGTCACCGCGTTTTGAAGGCGCAATAATACTTATGTAGCCAAGTAAATAACAAGAGATATAAAATAACTGTTGTATTTTAATATAGAAGTAGTATTTTGTGCTTATAAGTTAAGCCATGCTTCGGCACGTATAAGGAGGAGAGGGATGGGGCGAGGGTAAAGATTGGGCCTCCGGTAACCTCACTCACACGGCGAAACACAACGCTGTGGTTGTTTCACGCCGGTATTCTGTGAGGCCGTGGTATCACTCCGGTCGAGCCGACCCATTCGTGCCGAAGCTTGGCTCTCCCACACTTAAACGGTTCTTCTTCAGTGGTGATAAGTATATACTTCCCTCCATATACGCTTTTGAACTCCAAGCTAGTATTATTGAATTGATAAAATTATTATCATTGTTTTGATAGCGATAAACGCTATCAGTACCCAGGTTAATAAACTGTTCTAATTAATAAAACAAATTTATTTTAGATAGATATATTGTTGTTATTATTGATAATTGTCGAATAGAGTTTGTTGTATTTTGATTAATTAAAATTATGTATAATTATTATTATTCGTGCTATGAATTATATAAGCTGGGGTTGCGGGGTAAGCGCAATGAGGCACCGCGACCTCGGCCCAGAGCAGAAGAAGGAACAGGGGGGTTTTTAGTCAGTAAGAGTCTGACACTCCCTCCTGCCCGGCCTGGGGCGGGAGAAGTCATTGGATGATTTTCCCCTGAAAAAAAAATGTACTTATACTATACTTACTAGCTACCGATCTGCTCCGGCTTAGCACGGATGCAATGCTGATGCTAAATTTCTCCACTGTTTAATGTATGTTGTTATTGACTACTCTCACGTGGTTACATCCGCTACTAAGCTCCTACAGATCATAGCGTGAAGTTTCATAGCATTTATCCTTCCTCGATAAATGGACTAATAAACACTAAACAAATTGTTCAATTAGTAGTAGTTGGAAAATAGGGCATCCAGATCAGAGATCTGGATACCCTATTTTCCACATTTTAATCTTCTATTCACATATTATTTTAAGATAGCAGGCATGGCAGTAATATTCATAAAAAAGATCATACTTATTGAATATGATAATATGGAATGCTCTCGCTATTGTCCATTGCGCTGCCTTATATACCTAGGTACGTAGTGCAGTGGCTATTTATTACATGTATAAGAATGAGTTAGCAATAAAAAAATGATATTTTGAATTATTTTATTTTAAATATACAATTTTTTGATATTTTTATAGTTGATATCTATTCATTACTACATAGGTACACTTATAATTATTTACATAAACTTTTTTAGAAAATTAAACATACATAAGTGGTAAACGGTAACGTCTATACATTTTAAATTATTAAATCTATACTCTTGGTTCGATGTCATCCTGAATTTTGGCAATTAATTCTCTCGTACTGGTATATATATCATCGTATAATATAGTTTCACAACATGTTGAACACACACATCAGCCTCACAATTACACATCGGCTGTTCGGATTTTTGAAAACTGTCTGTATCATAGATTTCTATTTTTATTATTTTCGTTCCACGAGAAACAGGCTTCTTTATAAATTGATAGAATGTCTGATCTGTTTTTGATCTCTTGCGAGCGAGACCCAGCGTCTTCTGTCCAGTGGTTTGTTGGACTGGTTGATTCATGGGTACAAAATTGAAGAGATCCTCCGAGTCCTGAAATAACAATACAATATTAATTTAA